TCTCCAGCAAGCATATGTGCCCTCTAGCAAAAATCTCTCTAAAGAAAAAACAAACAAAAAAAAGTACATGCGTGCCCAAAATCCCAAAAGGAGAATGGAGGAGAAGGGATTGCAGCATGACCATCCCCCCTGGGAGTTGATTTTTTTGCTTTCTGTCTCTAGAACGCATGTGTCCTAGAGCAAAAATCTCTCTCTAAAATAAATAATAAATAAATAGAATAGTTAAAACGGTGAAAATAAAATAGACAAGGAAAATGAATAAACGAGAACACATTTAACTTAAGAATTCCTTAATAAAGTATTTGCTAACAAAATATAACAATGTATTAAAAATAATATATCATGGGGGCCTGCAGGTGGCATTGTGGTTAAGGGCACTGGACTCCCACATGGTTGAAAGCTGTTGGAATTTCGGACCTGGCAGTTTGCATGCTCACCTTCCTTCTCACTTTCTCTCACACTGTCCCTCTCTGTTCAAATTGAAAAATAAATAAATAAAGTTAATAAAATAATTCCTTAAAATTAAAAAAGTTGTAAAAAATACATTATTATCATGTAATACATAATAATGCAAACTAGGAATAAAAAAATGGTTTAAGAATAGAAATTCTATCCACATAATTCACAGCATTAATATAATACAGGATAACTATCATATGATTATTTCAACAGATGCATCATAAAAAAACAAGGTTCAATAGTATTCATCACAAGCCAGATTAGCAAACTAGAATTGAAAAACCTTTTCTGTTTATTTTTAAAAGAGATTTTTGGTATAGGGCACATGCGCTCACCAGAGGGCGAGAGAGAGACAGAAAGTGAGAAATTCCCCCCTTCCCAGGGGGATGGCCATGCCACAATCCCTTCTCCTCCATTCTCCTCTCAGGATTTTGGGCATGCACGTGTACATGCCTGGTGTGTGTTTCAAGTCACTGGGTTTCAAGTCAACTGAGGGACTTGAACCTCAGTTGAACACATGGGAGTTCAGTGACATAATCTTTAAGCCATCTGCTGGTCCTAGAAAACCTTTTCTTAGTGGGTGAAACGAATTGGTAAAAATAATATTTAGGCGATTACTATACTTAAGAAACTGTAAATGCATCTCCTATAGGATGAGGATATCCCATTTACCTGCAGTTTTTAACACTTCCAGAAGAACCAGTCGAAAGGAGGGGAAAGAAGAAATGAGTTTAGGTATAAGGACAAGGGCAGAAAGAAAACTGCCAGGGCTAGCTGTGGTGGCACAACAGTAATGCGACTCTCTGTGATGCTAAGAGCACACAGGAAGGCTTTGGTCCATGCCCAACGTCTCCCGGTACACAATGGGTGTGGGCCTGCCGGGGCCCTGGCTGGCCGGGGCTGAGTTGTGGCACGAAGACCCTGTTGGGGTTGTTTCTCTCTCGCTCTTTTAGACCTTCCTCTCCTTCTCTCTTTTTCATAGAAGAAATAAAATCACTAAACTTAAAAAGATATATTAAGTTGGGGCCAGCAGGTGGCACAGTGGTTAAGGCACTAGACTCTCAAGAGGCTGACTGCAGTTCAAGTCCTGGACATGGCAATTTGCTTTCTCTCTCTCTCTGTCTCTCTCTGTCTCTCTCTCTCATTCTCTCTCTCTCACTGATGAGCTCACATGACCTACAGCAAATTAAATAATAATAAATAAATTAAATTAAAATAATTCTTTACAAAAAATATATTAAGGAAAAGAGGGCTGGATCCATGACACAGAAATAAAGCTGGGTGCAGAGGAGCCATATCCCACGTGGCTGATCAAGGTACTTTGTCCTGGCCCCAGTGACCTGAAAAACATGGTGGGCAGATGTGTACATGCATGCCTGGGATCCAGACAAAATGGAGAACTGGAGGAAAAAAGACTGTAGCAAGACTAGGCCCCACTGGCATTGCTTCCTACCCCACTTTCCACCTTGGCATGCACACACATGTGCCTTCTGGCATTAAAAAAAGAAAGAAAGGCAAATTGTATTTGCAAATTATTCTTTATCTAGAAAAAAGAATAATCTATTAAGAGACTTCAGCAGTGTTATAGAACCAAGATGAAATATGAAAAAAATCAATAGCATTTCTGCATGCCAGTAATAGACGTCAGAAAAATATTTTTGACAGACTATTTAAAATCTGGATGTCTACTTAAAGAACATCATGCGTAAAATTAAAAAGTTAAGAGAATGGAAGGAGATGTTTTGTAATATCTAAAACTGACAGGAAATTAATATCAAGTATATGTGAAAATTTTTACAAAATATTAATCAAGAGACAGAAGTCCAAATTAAAAAATGAATAAAGAATATGAACAAGCAATTTTAGAAGAGGGATGCTCAAAGGCCAATGAGTATATAAAGTGATAAGAGAATTCCAAATTTAAACACTAAGGTATAAAGTGAAATATCTGAAAGCTAGATAACGTGATGGATGGCAAGGATGAGGTTATTATTAGTGGGAATATAGACCAAAGTATCTGGTGGAGCTTCTGACAGGACTTAGTCAAGGTAAGTGTAATGAATATATTTCCTCTTACCCAGAAATTATCCTCTTGAACATATTTTCACAAATTCTCATTAAATTCCATTATAGGACAATTATGAGAATGTTCAATATGGTAGTGTTTGTGGAGATAGGGAATTAGAAAAAAATCTGGATAGCAATCACTGGAGAACATGGATAGTTTACATGATGGCTATTAACCATGCTGGCAGTTAGAAGAAAGGTAAACATTGGGACCAGCAGTTGGCATAATGGCTATATTGCTGGACTCCCATGTAGTTGACTGTGGTTCAAGTCCTGGACCCGGTGGCTTAAATTTACGCTGGGTGGGTATGTGTACATACCCAAGATCCTGAAAGGAGAATGGAGGAGAAGGGATTCCAGTGTGGCCATCCCCCTTGAGGGGGTGATTTCTCGCTTTCTGTCTCTCTGTCTCTCTCTGGCTTTCTGGCATTTCTCGCTTTCTGTCTCTCTGTCTCTCTCAGATCACGGGCCTTAAAGAAAAAACCTCAAAAAAAAAAAAAAAAAAAAAGAAGAAGCAAGGTGGTGGTGAACATGGAATCATGAGTAAATGTTAAAACATAAAGTTAAACAAAATGAAATAGAAACAGAATGAGATGCATAGCACACTAGCACTTAAGCTTATTTAAATTTCCTATACATAAATGGAGGAGCGAAGAGTGTAAAGATACTATAGGAAAAAACAAAACTAAATCATGAGAGTTGCAGCAGATAGATGGGCACCTGACAATTCACAATATCATTCCCCATTTTCCTTTGTATTTATTTAAAAATTTCCTTATAAAAATACCTTAAAATACATGTACAAAACAATGCATTAAGAAAATACAAACACAAAACAACAGTGTAAGAAATATTGTTCTAGAATATCACATTAGAACGGTTTCCTATGGATCAAAGATGGAAAATTAGAATAGAAAATACATAACTAACTGAAATAAGAATTACTTTATGTGAACCAGTGATGACAATACGCCATGAACTGAGGAGTATGATTAAATCTACTTTTTCACTATGTAAAAGACCCATTAAAAAAAGAAACAATTTTTTTTAACTAGAAGGATCTGATTTAGACTGTGAAGATAAAAGAACTATAAAAATAATTATCTAATCATTAGAATTCAGAAAACAATTGAATAGCTGCTCCAAGTAACCAACTCACCATACATAACTATAGAAATGAATCAGAAATAAGTAATGTCACTTATCTTTTCAAGAGAAGTCATTTCTGACAATAATATTCATCACGGAAAACTAGCAAAATCACTACGCTGCTAACCACAAATTAAGAAGAAAAAATAGACTCTGAGCACTTGCATGCATTCTAAAAGAATAAAGAAAAATAGAACAAAGGAAAAGAATTCCTGCACTAGAGACTGTACACTGTTTTACTTGGCTCACCCAGAAGTAAAAGTGGTTTTACTGCAAAGGCAAAATTTAATGCTGATAGTGAAAAATCAGGATTTTTCAAATCCGTACTTCCTTTTTTTTTTTTTTTTTGGCAAAAAACAAAATTTGATTGTTATGGCTTCTCATTCTCACCTATTAGCAAGGATCCTAGAGCTGAACGGGCGTACCCCATTCATGGGCCACATACTTTCCTGTACTTGCCAGATGGTCAAGCAACATTATTTAAAGTACATTTTTTTGGGGTTGATACCCTTCATATCTCACTCAAAATTTCACCAAAGTATGGTCAGAAGTTTTCTTGTTGTGTAAGCATATAAACAGTCATGGGAGGCATGAACAGAATATGCTAAGTAGAAGGATATGTGAAGTAAGAATAAATACTTGGAAAGTCATGAAATAATGGAGAGAGACTTGGTATTCAGAAGAAATAATACTATGAATATATGAAATTACAATATAGATTTTTGAAGTGTAAAGAATAAGCCCCAACATGGTTAAAGGAGCTAATTAATGAATATGTTAAATAGAAAACAGTACTGTGAATAAACAGTAGTTTTTGTTTAACTTTTTCCTTTTTTTAAAATTTACCAGAGGACATGAGTACTCACTACAGAGAGACAGGATTTGGGGCAAGCATGCACAGGGATCTGGTGTGTTTTTCAAGTCACCAGATTCAGGATTCAAACCTCACAGCTGGTTCTGTGGGATCCAACTGCCTAAACATGACGTGACTGGCCCAATTCAACTTTTTTTCAAGTTAAATTCTGTTGACTGAGCTGTGCTCACAGGTTTGTTAGAAGCTTCTTTGCTTATTCTTCATTTTTCCTTCTTAGTTGGTTTGCATTCTTCTATAATGCTATATCATTTTAAAATTAACTGTGTTATAAGCAAAGTCAGATAGTTTCTGTCAAGATGATATTGGTACATACAAATTTCTTTCTGAATAGTAATAAAAGTGGCTGTAAGTTCACTTAGACAGGGGCAGTGATAAAAATTAAGTAAATTTACATTCTGGCCATCCTGAAGACTAAAATGAAATAAGTTATGAGGCTATGATGATTACTTACCGTGAGAGTCTTAACTTCTAAAGATCTTGTCTGTAAACCATAAAGCCTTCAACGTTTACTTCCCACATGCAGAAACTGACATCTTCAATGTACATCTACAAAAGAAGCACAAGAGGGTACCATAGATTTGAGTGTATACATATTATTTGTTTTAAATATATAAGTAAATATTGAAATTATTTTTCATTTTTTTAATAACTCTGGACAAAGGGAGGTGTGCATTATAGGACATATTTAATACAAACAAATAGCAAAACTATTGTGAATCAGAAGTTTTAGCAGAACACATATTTTGATCCAAGTCACAAAGCTGAGTACTTTCTCTACTACTAATTTTACCTGGAAACCTGGTTTCTATGCAAATTTTAAAATAAATATAATTTTGAATCCAGTGATTCTGAAATCCTGCATGAACACAGCCTCATATTAGAAAATACTTTCTTTGTTCAAAATTACTACAAAACCTGGAGCAGGTGGCATAGCGGTAAGATGCTGGATTCTCACGTGGCCAACTATGGTTAAATTCTGGACCTAGTGTCTTGAAACTCACACTGGGCATATGTGTATATGTGCCCAAAATCCTGAGACAAGAACAGAGGAGACTGGATTGTGGCATGGCCATTCCCCCTGAGAGATGATTTCTCACTTTCTGTCTCTCTATCTCTCCAGTGAGCACAACCTAATAGCAAAAATCTCCCTCTCAAAAAATATTATTACAAAACCATATTGTTGATTACATTTCAGCTGTCTATAAAGACAAAAACTAAAAGTCAACTAGTTCAATATTCTGTCCTCATATAGGACTCAAAATTCTATTCTCTCAAACTTCTGAATAAGGACTTTACGTCTACCTTGTAAAACTTAGTAGAAAAAGCTTATTTCTTTGTTTTCGAGTTTGATATAGGGAATGTGTGCTCACTGGAGAGAGATGAGGGTATGGGGGTGAGGAGGGGAAGTTAGAAATCACTACTCAGAGGGGATGGCCACTCCACAGTCCCCTCTCTTCCATTCTCCTTTCTGGATTTTTGGGCATGCATGCACATATGCTTGGCATGTTTTCAAGTCCCTAGGTCGGAGACTTGAACTGTGCAGTTGGCCATGGAGGATCCAGCCACCTTAACCTCTGCATCACCTGCTGGCCTTAAAAGGCCTTTTTTGAGAAGGCCTTTTAAAAATTCCTTTCATAAGAGAGAGAGAGAGACAAAGAAAGAGACCCCCAGCAGAGTTGAGCTATAATCCTTTCAGTCTTTCCTCAGCCAGCCAGCTAGCATTACGGGCAGGTGCTTGTGCACCCATCATGGACAGGATAAATTAGAACTGAAATCTCATTTTCCATATTTTTTTCCAGCACTGCAGAGTACCATAGCAGGACTAGCATTTTTTTTTTTAAGGGAGATTTTTTGCTATAGGGCACATGTGCTCACCAAGAGATAGAGACAGAAAGTTAGAAATCAATCCCCAGGGGGTATGGCCAAGCTGTAATCCCTTCTCTATTCTCCTCTTAGGATTTAAGATTTTGGGTAGATACACACATGCACCCTGTGTGAATTTTAAGCCACCGGGTCCAGGACTCAAACTGTGATCAACTATACGGGGCTCAGTGACATAATCATTATGCTATCTGCTGGTCTTTACCAGACAGTCTTCTAAGAGAAACTGACTAACAGACGAATGTCCTGAGAAAATGTTCTCATCCTAAAGAACTTGTTTCTGATAACCTTAATAATACATTCAGGAAAATAAGATTTAGAATACCTTTAAGTATGTTTTTGTGAATACTATGATTTTCAAGCCAAACATAAATGAATTTTAAATTAGCAACATCACTACTCCTTTCGGTCATTAGTATAGTTCCCTGCTCTTCAGTTGAAGCTTCACATTAAAAACACTTGGGACACTTTTAAACTATATTAGGATTTAGTTTATTCCTTAGATATTCTGATTTAATTAGTAAGAGCTGGAGTCAGGTTATTTTAAAAAACATTAAATTTTTTTCTCTTCTGGTTGAGAAACAATCTCACTGCAACCATTTGGCTTAGTTTCTGCATTGTCCTAAGACATTCACTTCCAAAAAGTACGGTCTACAGATTATAAAAAGTACTGAGACACTTGATAATCTACTGAATATTTAAAGTGACTTCAACTCTTTCATGACACATAAAAATATAAATATACTTCAACAGCCAGGTAATATCTTAAATTACAGGGATTCAAGCATGATGCAATTGGTAGTTGTAGTAAAACTCAAACTACAATGCAATTAAGGGCCAATGGTAGGTCTTTTTTTTTTTTTGTAAAGAATTGTTTATTTAATCTTATTTATTATCATTATTTTTAAATTTGCTATAGGGCACATGTACCCACCAGTGAGACACACACACACACACACACACACACACACATGCACCACAGAGAGAAAGCAAGCTGCTAGGTCTGGCACTCAAACTGCAGTTGGCCATGCGGGAGTCTAGCGTCACAACCACCAAGCTGGCCTCCAACAACAGGTCTTTAAAAAGTGGAATACCAGGTACCATGCCTAAAGTCTCTGATTTAGAAGGACTAAGCCGAGATCGCAGGTTCTGTTTCATGCAGGCATCAGTGGTGATTAAAATGCAGGACCAGACTCTGGAATACAGTGCTCTACGCACTTAAGAACACTGTATTACTAGATTATCATTATTAGCATTTATAAAGCACTTCTTGGGTTTTATTCTAAGATTATACCTCTTTTATTGAAGAATGATTTATTTAAATTTATTATTATTATTATTTTTTAATTTGACAGAGGGGGACAGAGACAGAGAGAGACACAGAGAGAGAGAAAGTGAGAAAGCAAGCCACCAGTCCTGCACCTCACCCACCACACCACCTGCCAGTCCCCTAAGATTAAACTTCTAATCTTGAAAGACAGTCCTCAGACTCACTGTTTTAGGAAAGAATTTTGAAGATAAAGTAAATAGGACTACAGCAACAAATTGATGTAGATAAACTAAAATAATGTGTATGGATTATATGTATTTTTAAGCTTTGCTATCCTATGTAAATCATAAGTAAATAATAAATGTAAAATGTAGGTAGACAATAAATAAGATACTTGGGCAAAAAAGACGAAACTAGGTTCCATTCTATAAACAAAATTTCACTTTTTTTCTTTCTTTTCGGCCTTAACTTAGTGGTGGTGAGGGCGGGGCAGTAAAGCACCTCTAGCGTTAATCTCTTTGTTTAAATACAAATCAAAATTTTTTTGAAGAAAATGTCTTGAATCATGTCCCTCAAGAACATATTTATACTACCATAAGTACTAAAAATATCATAAAATAGGCTGTTAACATTTTAGTTTTGAAAATTCTTATAAATAGGTCCAGAAATAATTTGCAATAAAAATAATATATTCATAGACACATAACCTTCAAAACCATTTCTGAAAATATTCTAATAAACAGAGGTAAGTATCTGAGTCTGCTATAAATAATGATAGTAACCTCAATTACTCCTAAACTTGAAAAAAAGCTATATTTTAACTCTTACTTTTCTAACCTAGAGAGCTACTAATAACGTATTCTTTTTGCTCTCTCTCTCTGGGCTTGGACCTAGTTGGCCGCAGTATGGCTAATCGCACCAAGAAGGTCAGCATCTTCGGTAAATAAGGGACCCCCTATGGTGTCTCCCTCCGGAAAATGGTGAAGAAAATTGAAATCAGCAGGCACACCAAGTACACCTGCTCCTTCTGTGGCAAAACTAAGATGAAGAGACGGGCTTTGGGGATCTGGCACTGTGGTTTCTGCATGAACACGGTAGCTGGTGGTGCCTGGACTTACACCACCACTTCGGCTGTCACAGTGAAGTCTGCCATCAGAAGACTGAAGGAATTGAAAGCGTAAAGTCTGCGATCAGAAGACTGAAGGAATTGAAAGACCAGTAGAAGTTCCACAGACATTTGGAATATCAATAGGCTACAATAAATGGATAAATTTATGTAAAAAAAATTAAAAATAAAAAACAATAAAGCATTGTTTTTACATGTATTTTCTGCTAAAGAGGTCAGGTTTTCTGTATGTTAAAATTGATCACCATTTATGACTAAAGTTGATTTTTTTTCCTCTACATATTTTAGGTGCTCGCTTCGGCAGCACATATACTAAAATTGGAATGATACATATTTTAGTATGAACCAATAACACTCTTAAATAACATGCACTATTCTACATCATAAAATAATTAAATCCATCATATTACTCTTTAATGATTACAAACACAAGTTCTTAGCCATTGTTAAATATCACCAATATTTGTCATATAAGTTGCTAAAACTGTTTCCTTGTTTTTAAAAACAGTATTTTTCTTTTCTTTTCTTTCTTTCTTTTTCTTTTTCTTCTTTTTTTTTTGGGGGGGGGGAGGTTTTTGCTATAGGGCACGTGCGCTTGCCAGAAAGAAAGAGAGAGAGAGAGAGAGAGACAGAAAGCAAGAAATCACTCCCCCTAGGGGGGATGGCCACGCCGCAATCCCTTCTCCTCCATTCTCCTCTCGGTATCTTGGACACGCATACACACACGGCTGGCATGATTTCAAGCCACCGGCCTGAGAAACGAAACACGGTCGACTACATGGGAGTCCAGTGACATAGCCATTATACCAACTGCTGGTCCCTAAACACAGTACTAACAGTTAACATTTACTGAGTTCTAAATTCTAAGAAGGATGATTAACTTAATTCTCATGACAATCTTAAGAAGTGATATTGCCATTAATACATCTTACAGAAAAGGAAACTGAAGAACAGACAGATCAAGGAGCATGCCTAGGGTTTCATAACTAATAACTGGCATAACAGAACAGGGTTTCAAACTCCAGTTGCCCACAACTCACTATACTATTCCTTGGGGGGTCTCATGCAATACGCTAAAATCACCAACAGTTTGGAAAACCTCATTAATATATCTCGGTATCAATTTCGGAATTGGAGCTCCAACTCTTTTGCAAGGTCTGTCAGATTTTCTATCTGCAAAGAGAATGCCATGGTGTTTCATTTCCAACTTTTCTTTTCTCTTACAAAAGAGAAGATTTCTAAGCCTCTCTTCTCTTCTATGTACATTAC